GCGACAGAGAAGTAAAGTCCTTGGCTTCCTAAGAACAGCTGAGACTGGAAGCAACAGTGGGGGCAACAAAAAAAGGCCGCGAAAGAGAGATCAGATGAATGAACTTTAATGATGCAGCTCTCTCTCCCTTTCGCACTTGCTAATGTTTATCGGACTTCGGAGTTGCTAAAAGACGCAATTTGTTTAGCAGCAGCAGTCCCCCGCGCATTTACCTACACATGCAGTCACTATCACACACACACACACACACACACATGCTCATGCGTATGTATGCATGCACGGGGACATAAAAACACAAATGCTTATAACAAAAAATTCTTGTTTGGACCTTTTTTCCATACGCAACAAACTGCGTTGCAGTGGCAACACTTTTTCTTATTGTTGTTTTTGCTGCACTGCCTGTGTATGTACATGTATGTATATGTGTCTAAGCGAAGGAGAAGAGGGAAAAACAAAGCTAGTGTACCTCAAACATACGTAAGATAGTATATACTTACATACATATGAATTTTATATATAAATATATATATACATGTAGCAACTACATATGTAAATGCATGGAACATATTTCAAGCTTTTACAAAAACAGCAACAAATGTCAAATTTTGCCACACAAAAACGTATAACAACTTACGGTTCTGTTGCAGTTGCAGTTGCAGAGTTTTCTTGTGTGTTGTTTTGTGCGATACACAGACACAAACACACGCACACACACACACACACGCACGCAAACAAACACACACACACACACACAAACAAGACGAGGCAACAACGACCCACTCAGTAAATGACACTTAATTGTGGTTCTTCACACCGTTTGCATAATACTAATGCAACACTTTTGCATCATTAATATTTCTATCAATTTATTGAACCGAATACAATATTTGTTTGCGTTCGCTCATTTTGCGTGCTTTTTTGCTGTGGGGGCGCTGGTGTGTTTGCGTTGTGTGTGGGGAATTATAATAGAGTTCAATTATTTGCGCCACTCTGGTCACACTCAACACCATATATCGTTATTGAAATATCGATACTATCGATATACAGCAACAAAATTACCCAAAAGAAGTTGCTGCTGCTGCTGCTGCACAAAAAAAAAAAAAAAAGAAAAAGAAAAAGAAAAGCACATAATTCTCACAACACAGCACGCGCCTTACGAAAAACACAGGCGTAAGTAATAAATAGGCTGCACAACTGCTGTGAAATAATACAAAATTGCTACCATTTTGTTAGTGTGCAAAACAAACAACAATTTAAAAAAAGGTTGACAGGCGGCGCTGGCCCAGTGCAATAGTCGCTGCTTGTGTGTGAGGTAAGCGTTAATAGGTGGGCAAAACCCAAGGCCCCCTAACCAGATAATAAATATTGATGTATATATATATATATGTGTATATATGCATATATCGGTGTGTACATTTCGTGCCAAGCCACAAAAAAAAAAAAAAGGACAACAACACATGACTGGCATCCCATATCGCCTGTCCCGTCCTTGCAAATTGTGCAGCTCTGCAAATGATTTTGATTGAATTAAACCAAGCAGCTTACTTTTGTTTACAGCTTTATCTAGCGAAATGTGAACAAATTAATAACACAAGCGTGCATATATGCATCAGCGTGCATAAAGGACCCTGAGGATGACTTCAGGCAAGCCGAAACTAGTTGGGTTCGCTGGAATTTCAGAGCAAAAAAAAAATGTAGAATTTGTTAGTTTTGCTTTTTTCTTAGACATGAGAATATGTGCTGTTCGATTCGTATAGTTACGCAAATGTTATCATTTAGATCGATTTACGCTTGATTTGCGCAAACATTCTCATTGTCACACTTTTCATTTTCCTACCATATAAATACATATTTCCAGTGGCCTTTTGGGCATACTCTTCATTCAATTGCCTGTTCAATATCTCGACCTCGAAGTCAGATCGCAAAGGTTGTATATGTGATATGGTCTGATAGTATGTATCTTCGACCAGTGCTCGGCTTAGTCAATTAGACATTCTTGACGCTCAATCAGCTCAGTGTTATACGCTTTAAAGTGTTACAAAATCATTGAGCAACAATTTGGTTTAATTGAGTGCTAAACAATTAAATTGCTAATTTAGTTGCTAACATAATGTCTGAATTAAAGCGGAGCATATAGAAACAATGAATCTTTCAAATAGTTTAAGTTCTCGCTGCCAGCCTTTATTTTGACTTGTTTCAAATTTCACCTTCAAAAACGTTAGATTTGTCGAAAAATAAGTGGAATTGATACCAGTGCACGCCTCTGACTGACTGACTGACTGACTGACTGATTGATTGCCCACTTTAGTCACACACTTTTCGAGAGTTCCACCCTCAAGTGCGGAAAACAGGTGAAAAGTATGGCAGACTCACCTGGTTGGCAAATCGGAGTCCAGTGTACTTGAGTTCGCGTACAAATCCAGGCTGGGTATAAAGATTATCTAAACGAATATTCTATTTTCGTATATTTATAGCTCTCTCAAATGTAGCTCACGGGCGAACAAGGCCGGGTAATGTGCGCTAGTATATCATATACAAATTATATAGATTTAGAAAATATGTGCGCAAGAGGAAATCTAATCCAGTTTTCAATATTAATATTGTGTACTCTTTCGCAGAAAGCTGGAAGCATGTTGTGGACGGTGCATCTCGATGGTGGTCCGCAGCGCGTGAATCATGCAGCTGTTGGCGTCGGCGAGTTCATCTATAGCTTCGGTGGCTATTGCACCGGGGACGATTATCGCTTCAATGAACCGATCGATGTGCATGTGCTGAACGTGCACTCGATGCGCTGGACTCTGGTGCCGCAGCAGTGTGACAGCGACGGGGATCCGCTCAAGTATCCGCTGGTGCCGTTCCAGCGTTATGGCCACACCGTCGTTGCCTACAAGGAGCGCATTTACATTTGGGGCGGCCGGAACGATGAACATCTGTGCAATGTGCTCTATTGCTTCGATCCAAAGACGGCGCGCTGGGCACGCCCGGCGGTAAGCGGTTGCCTGCCGGGCGCCCGGGATGGCCATTCGGCGTGTGTGATCGGCAATTGCATGTACATATTTGGCGGATTTGTGGATGAGATCAATGAGTTTAGCAGCGATGTGCATGCCCTGAATCTGGAGACAATGGAATGGCGTTATGTTCAAACGTTCGGTGTCCCGCCAACCTATCGGGATTTTCATGCGGCCGTCGCATACGAGGAGGAGCGCATGTATATATTTGGTGGGCGCGGCGATAAGCACAGTCCATACCATAGTCAGGAGGAGACCTACTGTCACGAGATTGTTTATCTGGATATGAAGACAAAGGTGTGGCATCGACCATTTACCGCCGGCAAGGTGCCAGTGGGTCGGCGCAGTCACAGCATGTTTGTCCACAACAAATTGATCTTTGTCTTTGGCGGCTATAATGGTCTGCTGGATCAGCATTTCAACGATCTGTACACATTCGATCCGCGCACCAAACTCTGGAATCTGGTGCGCGCCAATGGCCAGGCGCCGACGGCCAGACGACGTCAGTGTGCCATTGTCATGGGCACGCGCATGTTCCTCTTTGGCGGCACCAGTCCTCGCTGCTCCATGCCACAATCGCAGAGCTCGGTGTTGCGCGGCAATGAGCTAACGCAGCCGCCGGCGGCACCGCCGCCGCAACAGCAGCCGGCAGCAGCGCCACCAGCAGCAGGAGCAGGAGCTGCAGCGGCAGCTGCAACCACCACACTGATTGACTACAGCGATCTGCATGTGCTGGACTTTGAGCCCACGCTGAAAACGCTTGCCACGATGGTGGTGCTAAAGCATCAGCTGGACATTTCCGGCTTGCCGCGCAGTTTTCGGGCGGATCTTAACATGCTGACACAGCCGAACAGTATTACCCGGCCCATCAATCAGGCCGGCTAGCACTTATTGTTCATGTTGGAAATAGATAAAAATACAATCGGTTGATGCCGCCTGGTGCTCGGATCGTCGCCCCTTTGTCGCGTTGTTCAGCGACAAGCTACAAAACAAAAAAACAGGCAACTAAAGAAAGAAAAAAAACAAAAACAAAACAAAAAAGAATGCGTTAAAAAACATCATGAGATAACAACAGTTATTTAGCTTAATTTACACGCTTTTTCCACAACGCTTGATGGAAGCGGATTGCACTAGTCCCAGTTGTCGAGCAATGCATCCGATCTCTTCCAAAAGTGCTCGAAATATGAAATGACACCACACACACACACATACAGAGAAACAGAAAGAGAGAGAGAGAGAGAAAGAGATAGAGAGTAAACAGAGAGAGAGAGAGAGACACTCGCACATACTCAGACTCGCACACACGGACACTAAAAAACTAGTAATAAACAATGCAGTTTCAGAAACTTGCTTGGACTTACAATTACATAATTAGCTCTAGTTTGTAAAGTGTTTATGTATAATTATCTTAAATAAAAATCGCATATTATTATTATTGAAAATACTGTTGGGCGTCGGCTTAAATCAATTTTTGCCTTGAACGCAACGATCTCAGAGACTGCGAGCTCGAGCAACAAAATTCTCATATATTCTCTTTAGTTAACTTAATTATTAACTTCGAACGCTCGGCGGCTAATAAAAATACAGAATTGTTATAGGTTATAATAACGCCTTTCTATGCGATTTTCATGGTCTCAAGTAAGGCTCGAAAGTAACAAATCCTCGTTCTTTACGCTCTCTCCTCTAATCTACTCTCTCGCCTATCTCTGTCCTCGATTTAACACACTTCGGCTCTCATTCCTCAATACTCACACACCATTCCTATGCATCTTCCTCCCCCTTTCTCTTATATAAGAACTTATTGCTGCTTCTCTCTTTTTTCAAAAATGTTCATTAGCTTACCTTCCTTTCGAAAATATGTCATTCCCATGAAATGATTTTTAAATTTGAACACCTCTTAGGCAATGTGTCTAGTTGAATAATAGTGTACGCATGTTTATTCCCGGTTTCTAACTCATTTTATAGTTTCAATAAAAATAAATTGAACAATTATTGCTTGTCAAAATATATATATACTTTATTATAAGCAGAACGTCTCCTGCACTTACTCAACTACATTTGCATACAATTATTAAGCTTATTTTACAGTTTGGTAACCTAGATCTATAACTTTGCCTTGCTGGATTGCCAAGGCTTGGCATCGCTGTTGCTAGCCAACGGCGCTCGTGTATCCGCGCAGGGTCAAGTAGCCATTGATGATGTCCGAGGGCAAATGCTGCATGGAAGCGTACTCATCGGCGTTGGCGTAGCGCAGCTTTGAGTGCGGATCGACGTAGGGCGCCGGCAGGCCGCTAATATCCGAGTATTTCTTGGCTGGCAGCAGCGAGGGCGGTGCATTGAGCGTGAAGTCTGGTGAAGTGAAGCGAAAAATGTTAATAACGTGAACGCCAGAGTTTGGCCTTTTACCCACGCACATGTCGGCTGATCGGCTGGAGGTTTTTGATTGCGCTCCATGTTGTGAATTTGACGCAGCGGTCGATAGACACAGTTCCTGGGAAACGCAAAGGGGCGCTTAAACGAACGTTTGGGCTTCTGCAGCGAATTCGTATCCATCATATTTGCATTAAGCACACACAAAATTGTGTAAACAAAAAAAAGTTGTACGTTTTGTAAACAGCTGTTTTGCTGCGTGGTATCGATTTAACGAGTAGCGATATATCGATAAAATATCGGCAACGGTCAGGTAATTAGTGCTGAACACTTTCTTAATGAACCATTCCAGTTCATAAAGTTGGCCAATTTGAGTAAAAATATATAAAACTAGAGGTTAACCTGTTGCAAATGCATGCTGAGTAATTGCTTTAACTTTAAATCAATTTAAATATTTATAAAATATGCATTTTCAAGCAGCATACGTTGTACACTAGAGTGCCTTGGAAAAGCTGTAAAAGAACTAGTTTGCCAACTGAACCGAGTCACACATTCCTAACTGCCAGCCAGTCTTGAATGGATTGTATACGTGTGTGAACCAAAAAAAAAAAAAAACGAAAGAAATATAGATTGAATATAATTTAAAAGCTTACGTTTACGATGGCGCGCAATGCGGGCGGCAACAACAATAATGCAACCAAATCGAGCGCAACGGGTAATCATCACCCGGCAGCCGGTACAGCGGCGGCGGCTGCTGCCGCTGCTGCAGCCGCTGCTAGCGCCAAACACAAGCGGAGCAGCAGCAGCAACAGAAGCTTCAGCTTCAATTTGTCCTCAAAACTAATGCTGGACAAGTGGAAGACATTGGTTGGATGCGTCTCTTTGGCCGTAGCCAGTTACTTTGGCTATTTGGGCTATTTGGAGACGCGCGTGAATACGCCGTTTGATAATCACAAGATGGTATTGCGCACCGGATTGGACGATCCGGAACGATACTGGGGCACATACCGACCACACACATACTTTGGCATGAAGACCCGCGATCCACACTCACTGGTCATGGGTCTCATGTGGTATACACCGAGCAATTTGGGACCAGGCGGTCAGGGCATACGACACTGGTGCGAGCTGAGCGATAAGCTGGATGGTTATGGTTGGACCCATCACGATGGGCGCACCTTTGGTGTACAGGAGATACAAGATCTGCCCTTTGAGCTGAAGACCTCGTTTGTTAAGTATCCTGGCGAGAAACAGTATGGCGGCGACTGGACAGCACGCATCTCGGTGCGGAATACGACGCGGGCATGGGACCGCAGCATATCGCTCATCTGGTATGTGGCACTGGATGAGCGCACAAATGGACACATCAAGTATGTATCGGATGAGAAGAGTCCCGAGCCGGGCGTCTATGGCGAGAGTCAGGGCCTCGGCGAGTTTCAAGTACGCTTCCATGCGGTCAAGGGACGCATTTTGCACAAATCCTATTTGAGCACGGTGGCATCTGGTCTGAGCAAGCTCAAGGAGACCATTTTCGCGCATTTTCGGGCGTTTGCAAGCAAGCGGGGCAACCGCTTTATTGGTCTGCCCGGTGAGATTGTCTCCCAGAACGGCGTGCCCTCAACGAATCCGGAACCAAATCTAATTGCCATACAGATCACGGCGGAGGTTGACTTTACGCTGGACATTACCTATCAGTCGACGTCGGGCTTTGCCCTGGGTGAGTCCATACCCAAGCCGCCAACCGGACGCGCCTACACAGACTCGCTGCAGGCAAAGATTGGCAAATTTGATAAACGTTTCGAGGACACCTTTCAGCTGGCCGCCAAGGGCTATTCGCCCGACGAAATACGCTTCGCACGGAACGCATTTAGCAACATGATTGGCGGCATTGGCTACTTTTATGGAGCCAGTCGTGTGCAATCTGTGCACACACAGAATCCGGTGCCATATTGGAAGGCGCCGCTCTATACGGCGGTGCCATCGCGCAGCTTCTTTCCGCGCGGCTTTCTCTGGGATGAGGGCTTTCACGGCCTGTTGATTAGCGCCTGGGATGTGGACATTGAACTGGACATTATATGCCATTGGTTTGATCTGCTCAACGTGGAGGGCTGGATACCCAGAGAGCAAATTCTTGGCGCCGAGGCGCTGGCCAAGGTGCCAGAAGAATTTGTGACGCAGCGCAACAGCAATGCGAATCCGCCCACGTTCTTCCTGACGTTGCGCAAGCTGCTTTCCCAGCACAAGGAGCAGCTGTCGCAAAAGGGTCGCTTCGCCACTTTGGAGCGTCTCTATCCACGCCTCCAGGCATGGTTCAACTGGTATAACACCACGCAGCGCGGTAAGTCTATCTCTCTCTCTCTCTCTCTCTTTATTATGCATGCGCGTTCTCTGTCTCACACACGCACACTTCTTCCTGCTGCAGGTGAAGTGCTCGGCACGTATTTGTGGCAAGGCCGCAATGCCAGCACCTTGCGTGAGCTAAATCCGAAGAGCTTGTCCTCGGGCCTGGACGATTATCCGCGCGCCTCGCATCCCACATTCCGGGAACGTCATGTAGATTTACGTTGCTGGATCGCACTGGCGGCCAGCGTCATGGCCGAGCTGTCCACATTGCTGGGCAAGGATGATGTCAAATATTATGAGACATTCTCGTATCTGATGGACAATGAGCTGCTCAATCGCCTGCACTTGGATCCGTACAGTGAACACTATGCCGATTGGGGCCTGCACACGGATTCTGTGACACTGAAACAGCCGCCGCCGTTGACAACACAGCGTACGGCTGGATCACGCGGCGGTGCTGCGCCACAGCCGCCACAGGAGAAACAACGCTATGTAACAAAGCAACCGGACTACAAGTTTGTCGATAACATGTTCGGCTATGTGAGTCTATTTCCAATGCTGCTCGAGCAGCTGGATCATGATTCACCGTATTTGGGCAAAATGTTGCGCGACATGCGCGATCCGGAACTGCTCTGGACGAACTATGGCTTGCGCTCGCTGTCCAAGAACTCGCCCATGTATATGAAACGCAATACGGAACACGATCCGCCCTATTGGCGCGGACCGATCTGGATAAACATTAATTATTTGGCCGCAAAGGCATTGCGTCATTATGGCAAAATTGAGGGCCCCAATGCCGAGTTGGCCCGCAAAATCTATGGGGAATTGCGCGAGAATCTGGTGAGGAATATCTTTAGGCAATATCAGCGTACGGGCTACATCTGGGAACAGTACGATGATACCACCGGCGAGGGCAAGGGCTGCAATCCGTTTACCGGCTGGAGCGGTCTCGTCGTCCTACTCATGGCCGAACAATTCTAATGCCATCGTTTTCGGCTGCAGCGAGTTCCTCCTGTGATAAACTCACGAAAAAACAAAAACAAAAATGAAAAATAAAACTTTAAAACCGATTCCGTGTGCACTGCGATGTTCGTTTAGCTTTCAGCTACTAGCCAAGTGTTACTTTCCAAAGATCTAGATACTTATACGCGAATTTGTAGTATATTGTGCCACTGTGTAGTACGTACTCTGATATCATGGATATGTACAAGTATAATCTTCTGTTGCCAGGGGTCAATCCCTCCGGCTGCTCTTGTAATAAGCTGTACAAATTTCAATTTCTGACGAATTACTTAAAATAGCGTTAATAGATGAATTTACTTATAATAAAACGTATAAATTAAACAAAGTGTTTTTTTTTCACATTTCCCACATTGTCAGTAAAGAATGTTAAATATATGATAATTCCTGTATACTCTATAATATAATATAATATAATTCATATAGACTCAAGATAAATAAGTCAAAAGATTGCATCCTGAACATGTCCTCTCATACATTTTCAAACAATTTAATTTTAAATCTATAATTTTCCATTCCACTGAAAAGATTGCAAGCCGTACTTTTTTTTATATAGGGAAGCGAGCTGCCTCTTTGACTATAGCCTTCTTGCTGACTCTTCCTTTTATTCTCTTTCACCTGGTTTTACTTTTTATATCTTTCTCCGTTGACTCTCTGACGCTTTTTTTTTAACTAATGCCCTCAGCACTTAAGCTATCGCCTTTCTATGCGATTTTCATGAGTTATGCTTGGGCTAACAAATTTGAGTGTGTTTTTAGTTTGAGTTGTGTATAAAAGTAATATCCTATGTTTTGTTTTATCCACCTCCCCTCCCCTCGCCCGCTCTCCCTCTATTATAGATCGCTTTTCTATGCGATTTTCATGAACTTCAGTTCTATCTAGCACAAAGCCGTGTTTGATGTTTCCCCTAGATATGTCCCAAATAATAACAGATTTGCTTGTGGTTTTAAAGGATCTTTTCGCTTTAATTAAAAATCAACATAAAGTTAAGTTTCGCTTATAAATAAAGTTTCAATTCCATTAGACGTAAAAGAATTTCTAAGTAGTTTCACATTTACACAATACAAGAAGCTATATTCAATCTCGCAATCACACGCACACGAAACATTCTGGGATTAGAAATTACAAACAGCTAGCATTTACGGCTAAATTGCTTTTTATATATGTTTATAAAAGTACGAAAGAAATTAGACGAATTATAGTAATTATTACTAATTACTTAATTTCATTTGTTCGACAACGAACTTAAGGCTAACAAAGCATTTTATATTCTGTATTGTATTGTATTGTTCTATGTACCAAAAATTATTAGCTATACAAGGCGGATTATTGCACTTAAGGGCTGGCAACCATTAAACGAGCGCGAGTTATAAAATTATTAAGTTACAACTAGACGGAAGTACACATTAGGATATATATGTATTAGAATGAAGTACATGGAACGAAAGTCTTATGGCGGCGCATTGTATCTGTTATACAATCGGATTCAATGTTCAATGCCCTCGTTATTGTTTAGATATATTGGTGATTAACACAGTTATTATTATTGTTAACAATCGAAGATGGACTGCTGGATCGTTTATTTAGTCTGCTTTGTCTTTACTGGAATTGCAGGCGGGGCTTTTGCGATTCCGTTTGAATGCCGGCAGGCGATCCAAAAGCGCCCAAAGTATGCTGCCAGGCAGACGCTGATGCTGATTGATTAGATCCTCAATGGCAGTGGCCACCTGAAATGTCAAATCTCATTACGATCCAACGATCATGAATTAAGAAAGGCAGCAATAACACACCTTTATTTGCAGCTCCTGCGGCGTCAGATTCTCATCATAGTCGATGGGCTTGCCCAGATATGTGCGAAACTTGACTGGGAAGCCGCCGTAGATGG